GGAAACTACAGATGTCAAAATAAAGGGTTAAAAACATCATCATAAATGTGATGGTGGACCGTAATATATTTACTGCAAATTGTATCGATTCGACTTTCATGCTATGTCCTAAGGGAATTTCATCATCTTCAACGACATGTTCTGATGTTTTCACTATCATGAAATACAAGAGAGAATGTACCCCCCAACAGAGTGACAGTTATATCACGTGATGACCACCCCAATCAATAAGGAAATAATAATATCCAAATAGAGCAATTACATCGCTTGTTGGATGCGTGACAAGCCTCAAAAGACAGTCAAAGAGATCAACAGTGCATGGCGGTACAAAAGCAATACAATATCCCCGAGGCCATTGCATGAACTTTGAATAATATTCTCATGCATTTTTATTCTTTCTGCGTCATCTGTTTGTGCGAGACTATCCTGGAGATCCCCACACAACAGTCTTTGTCTGGAAGACAAGTAACCTTGACGTTTTCCTAACAGTAACAGGTGTAGCTCCAGGGGTGGGGGGAGGCGAGCGTGTGCCCCGAAATTAAATTGCAAAAAGAAATTAAAAGGGAAGTGGGGGGGGCAGGAAGATGGAGAAAGGAGAGGGGGCAGATCATTTCACACTCTCACCCCACTAAAGGCTTGGTGTATTGACATATTTCAAGAACATGGAATGACTGACTGGAGCCCCCCCCCCCCCCCCCCACCCCCTCAGGGTGCCAGTGGCCCCTCTTTAGCTGCATCCATGCTACGCCATTGCACACATTTACTATTTTTATTTTCCTTGGGAAGTTTTTGGTGACTCATATATAGAACCAGGTCCTCAAAGCAATAAATAACAAAGCGAGTTCATAGCAGTTTATCATGTTAACTTAAAACATCATTTTTTATTTTTTTTGTTGGAGGGGGGGGGGGGGAATATTTTTATTGATATTACTTGTCCCTCTCTTTTGTTTGGAATTAAAAGAAAAAGTCGCGTGATATAGCCCGTTTCTTATTCCTTCTCTTTGTTTGAGATTGTTATGCCGTTTGGGGCAAATTTCCCATGCTTGATGCGTCCTTCATACTTTGTGCACTCATAACATAAAGAAACCTAAAATACACATATCTGTGAATCCCCAGTTGGTATCACCCGACACAGAAAACCGTGACCCTCTTTCATTAAAATGAAACTAAAATCAGGGCCATTGTGACATCATTCAACTGACAAAATTCAGCCATAAATTATGATATGGTATTACATTTTAGAAGATGATCTACTATAGCTCACAGGATGATTAAGAAGAAGTAATGATGATTTCAAACATGTGATGGCTGCCAAATAAATTAAAAAGGAAGTAATTTCTAATGATTTATAGTTTATCGACTTATTCAAGTTTTTATGAGAAGAGAAATTGAAACTAATGAAACTAAAATCAGTGCCATTGTGACATCATTCAACTGACGACAATATTCAGCCATAAATTATAATATATTATTACATTTTAGAAGATGATCTAGTATAGTTTAAAAGATGATTTAGTAGAATAAAGGATGATTTCAAACATGTGATGGCTACATTAAAAAGGAAGTGATTACTACAGATTTATAGTTTATTGTCTTAATATTCAAGTTTTTATGACAAGAGGAATTGAAACTAATGAAACTAAAATCAGTGCCATTGTGACATCATTCAACTGACGACAATATTCAGCCATAAATTATAATATATTATTATATTTTAGAAGATGATCTACTATAGCTAAAATGATGGGAAAGGAAAGGATGATTTCAAACATGTGATGGCTGCCAAATACATTAAAAGGGAAGTAATATAGGAAGTTACAGTTCATTGTCTTATCTAAGTTTTAATGAGAAGAGGAATTTTTTAACAAAGCCCACAAGATTTTTAGAAAAAGAACTGGGTCTAGGTTCATGGACAGGTGTATTACAGCAAAATCAAGGAAAAAATCGTCCCGGAAATAGTTTTATAATTAATATGACATTATTTGCTGATTTGTGGGAAAGACTGTGATTTGGATTCCTGCCAAAATGCTAGTGTCTCTTTTGGATACTTTGCTGTTGATCCAACGTGAAGACCAATTTGCTCAAAAGGAAAGATTTATCATGAATATCAAATGACCTTCAGAGAACATAAAATAAACTGAACAATCAAAATTATACAATGCATAACAAACAGACCATAAAATATTCTTTTATGATTGGCTGCTCAAGAAGTGACAAAATGCCCAAACATGGTCACTAGTTAAACGGCTTGTGAATTTATGATGGTTTCTACTTTGTTTAGATATCAAGGGAAGTTTGATCTCTCCAGTCATAAAGGGTATTTTCTTTGATAAATTTAATTAGAGATTACTATGTAAAAGACAATTTACCGATCAATCTGATGTCATAAATAACAGATATCAAACACAGTTATGAAACTTTGAATCCATTAGGCAAAATGAAACTGAAATGAAAAAACCCAAGAGGTCAAGCTCATACTCTCTGTCTTATTGATTTAGGTCGATAAATATAAAGTATATTGATTTGCTTTGAACAATTTCTTTTAAATCTTCATGATTGAGAAGTATTGCATGAAATAAAATAGTAGAAATCTTGTACATATCTCTGTTTATTTATTCCTTCTCATGTCTGTGTCGTTTATATGGCAGTCTCCTGCGATTTTCAATTTTGAAATGATTTGTTAACTGTGTTTTTTAAAGGTATAATTATGTAGTTGAAAGATATTATATGAGTTTAACTTTTTATAAATATTATATATGTACCTAGTTTGCATATTACTTTCTATTATGTTGAAAAATGCAGATATAAATTAAAACAGGGAAAGATCCTGATCAAGAAGTATATTAAATTAATTGTTAATGCGAAGGTTGGGAGCTTATTTATGTTTACCAATAGCGAAGGAGTTGACCATCTGCTACTACCGGTATAAGAAAAAGGATGCTAGTCAAGTAGTTTTCTTTTCTCATCTTTTAAAGGAGTTGAGTCAAGTAGTTTCCTTTTCTCATCTTTCAAAGGAGTTGACCATCTGCTACTATAAGATAAAGAATGCTAGTCACGTCGTTTCCTTTTCTCATCATTCCACCTTTATTGTAGTTCTTGTAAAATCATTTATAGGACCATGAGTAGGTCCATGATAGGACAGAGGCATCTAGTACTAAATCTGTCACATTTTAAGCGTTAGATCTGAATTCCTTACTTTCACATTGGATGACAAGGACACTGTATTTCTGAGCCAGAATGATGGTATATATTCTTTATTCTTATAGATGTAGGTTCTCCATCATGTTACAGTGCACATGCAATATCCCTACAAAGTATCAAATATTCAATACAATAGTAATGAGCTGAGGCAATCTATTCTTTATCAAATTGTCACTTTTATACTGATAAAATAAGACAGGGTTCGTCTTTGATATACCTTATCTTGGCTTATTCCATACAAGATTATAGTTTCAGTATGTGAGTAGTTCATGCTTAAATACAGCACAGTAAAAAGGCACATCTCGTTCTACTGGTAAAGATAAGAATATATTCACAGTTTTACATACATGTAAGCAAAATATACATATTTCACAATTTGCATTGAATTCTAAGAACGAACATCAAATGCTAAAAAGTCCAGAAGACTTGAGAGAAACGATTGAAAGACATCTTTTTAAGATTATCCAGTCTCGACTCAGGGCTTCACACCAACAGACATCCGGTACACATCAGCTTTCCAAATTGGGCCGGGACTCCAGACATCCCCCAACCCACCCCCTTTTGAAGAAAAAAATGTGATAATAATAATTAAAAGTTGAAACAGGGGGCACATGCATACAGATTCTAAAAAATTCAACCTTAACCTCTTGTAAAGAAGAAAAAAGTTAGTGTACGGCTCTGCTTTATTTGATCCCCAAATAATTGAACACTTCTACTATGTACACACTTTAAGTACCGGTAATCTTTCGGGGCTTCAATCGATCTCTAGTGAATTAATCTCTATTTGCGTAGGTATTTTTTTCAAATGATGTTTCTCATAAATGCTATTCTTACTATTGTGTCTAGGATTCACAGTTATACTCATACATTATCCAACAAAAAAGCATACAGTATCTGTATGTCAGTAAACAATTGCTCAGAAATCTGATAAATATCGGTGAACTTCGCAAACAAGAGTTTACTTTCCCGCAAAAAAATTCTCACCTTTGATCCCTTAACTGATTTCCTGTATTTGCGTAGACTTTGTGTTTACTCATAGATGCTAAATAAACTCTATGAAAAGCATAGTTTTCAAGAACGGACAAAATTACCAGAAATAAAAGTTAACATGGTTAGTCCTTAAATATTTGTTTTTCACATGTGTAATTTTTGTATTTGATTAATGTTATTTAACCTTGTTTTTTCCAATAACATTAGCCTATTATTTGCATGCAGTGACCTGTAAATGAAAAGCCCTATCCTATATGCAAAACAGATTTTAATATATCGCATTACAAATTAATATTTTATGAATAATACTTATACAGATGTTGTGTATTAAACCAATTTTGAATAGATACTTTAAAGCTACACAGTAGTCGGTGTCCATGTGTATTGCATCATAATTCGCTGACACCAGATTAAGTTGAATTCCCATTTAATGTGTCTGTGTGTGCAAAGGTATCTGAAGCAGCAAACCCATGGTCCCATCAGAAAATACCCCAACACACCTTCCTATCTGAAGGATGAGGAAAATTTAATATTCATGTTGAGAATTCCTCATGGCGGTAGGCAAGGGCATAGTGCATTACACCAGACCTACTGGTCGTAAAGTGAAGTCCACTTTAGGTGATTGACAAACACCTGTAATTGGGTAAAGAATCAAGTGGTGTCAAAATCCCCATGAAAATCCACTACTATGAACCTTTAAAAATAATTTAATTGCTTGTTCGGGTCCCCTTTAAGAAAGGCAGATGGGACATTATAATCATGACGTTGTTAGGGTGGTCAAAGACCAAAGGTGTCAGATAGTCCTGTTATTATCTGATATCGATAGCAGAGTATTAAATGGGGGGATTATAATAAACTATCCCCTGCAATACACAATCACTATTCAACAACCAAATTTCATACAATAGACTGTATGGTTGACCTAATTCACTAAATGTATTGTACATGTTAAATAGCCAGGTGCAAGCACCAAGCAGAAAATGTTTCGCCAAGTTCCTGTTTGGATCTTAATTCATTGTATATAAAAGGTACAGCTGCTCACAGCAAATTGAACATGTTGTGCAAGCGTCAGGTTTAGATTCCCCCCGTTGCAACAGAATGGCATGAAAAGATCTTTCCTTTCACAATGATTATGATGTTAACTCCACATAGAATCTATCTTCTTTCATTTGTCCCTAATCGTAGTCGTATTGAGCATTAGTGGTAGATGAAGCTGTAACCGGTTGTTTACTAAATTTCAGAATATGCCGCTTTAAAACTTATTCAAGACTCATTACATAAAAATGAAATTTTCTCCAGCTTGGAAGAGATGAGCACATGAATACAGAAAAACATCAATAGAGATTCAGATCTATGTCAGAACTAAGATCACTATTCCCTTGCCGTGCTGCATTCAAATAAGAAATACTATAAAAAAAAAAAAAAGGATCCAGGATGAAGCACCAAGGCTACAAACTGATTTTAAAAAGATGACCATGGTTCATTTGTTCTGTCAGACACAAAACATCAGAGAGCCTTATTAGGAGCTCATATTTCATCTTCACAATATGGTCAATCCCACTCTTAGGGTAGGGTATGCCTTGATGTTTCAAAGAAAACATTTGACAAGAGCCAGAAAGGCATTAGCGCAAACTTTTAACACAAGAGTTAACCCATTGCCTACAGGAACTGGCTGGTCCCTGTATTAAGCATATGGGAATTAGAGAATTCAGTAGTCAGGGGGTTAATGCCTTGAATCAACACCCTCACCTTTCTGGCTTTTACAGGCAAAATACCCTAATGGCTGCAAAATTGTAATTGAATCAAAACACCAGTCTACCACCTCTCCACTTTCTTTCCTCCCCAATAAAATAACGTTAGATGCTCTAAGGTTGTAATTCTCATTTTGTGAGAATACCAGTACCCCCGAGACGGCGAGTCCAGACCTAAATGTGAAGATCTTTTAGAACAAGGCTCAATCATGTATTATATCCATGGCTTCGTCTTGATCAGATTGTGAAGTGTGCTGCTTTTTTTTTAAGACAAACTTTATAGGGCATTAAAAACATGTTGTGACATGTGTACATGTATGTCATCTGAGGGTGGATTCTATGACAGGCTCTTGTGGTGTTCAGTTCAGTGACACTTCATAAACAATTGTAGTTGTTCTGAAGTCATTTGTGATTTTAAAGTAAAAACCCAACAAAATTATTAAAAAGAACATAATAAAATGAAAAGTAATATCTTTTCTCATGAAAGATATACTCTCCCTGTTGAACATAAAACAGTACTAAGTTAAAGAGGATAATATATACCTACTAGTTGTATCAAAAAAGTCATACTTGACACTTAAATCACAGTGACAAACCTTCATTTCAGAGAGAGTGAGATTAGCAAATTAAGTAGTTTTGTACATTATGAGAAATATAAAACATATCTAGATAAATACACCAATCATACATTAAATGCCTACTATCATTTCCTTCGTTATTGCACTCCTATTAGAATGATATTTACAGTTAATCTAGTCTAGACTAACATCTAGGTGATCTTCAATTACACTGAGATATCAAAATGCAAGAGGACACTCTCTATCACTTATTACTTTACGGCCTCAATGATTTTGACTGGAAGAACTGAATGATGAAAATGAGATCTTTACAAATCAGAATGAAATAGTTCTAGTGATGTTGAGTGTGTACAGGAAGGGAAATATCACAGGAAAGGTTGTGATGATTCCCAGAGAAACTTGGTGTGGCAAGTTAAAGTTTCACAGAGATACACAATAGTGATTGACATCAAAGTCAAACTTTCTCTGAGGCAAATGCAGTGTTCCATCAATAGTCACTGTCAGTCTCCTAGTTCAAAATGAATTCTGCGACTATGCAATCACATTTCAAGTTCCTCTACGGTCTCCGCGTCGCTCTCTGGTATCTCACCACCCCCCTCCTGCTCTAACAAACTCTGTCCTCCTAGAAACCTTGCAAGGGGTGTGGCCAAAAAGGACCTTCGATCCCCACCTAGAAACTCCAGATCGCTGATGGAGTAGGGGAAGGCGGAGGTGAGCGCCTCATGGTTCCGTTTCAAGTCATCTTGAGAGGTGAAAAATAACCTGCTCTTTCGCTTGGGCTTCGTAGGAGGCGCGGCTACGGATTCCTTGGAGACCTTCAGGTTCTCCAGGGTCTCTCTGAGTTGCTGTATCTCATCCACCAGCCGACATTGTTGCTGGTAGATTGCGGGACTTCCCCCTCCCACCGTGTGGACACTCGGCACCCACCGCAGGTAACAATGATTCCATAAGGTGATCGTCGGCGTCTGCAGTAACGGTATGATGATCTCCTCCTCGCAATTAGCAAACACACTACTCGCAGAATTGGCACCGTTCACATTAGGGTTCTTCCTTCTCTTCCCGCCATTGAATGTCCAGCTGTCCATCTCCTTGAAGTCGGAGCCGATGTACGACTTGCCATTGTTCAACCTGCGGATGCTGCGGTAGATACCGGCGTTGCATCCCTGCCTATAGTCGGGCTCGTCGTCCAAGAGGTCGTTGTACTTGAGCTCAGACTTGGCAATGTAGAGAGGGTTGGTGAAGAGCGCCTGGTCGTCTTTGGTGAACTGTAGCGTCCAGGCCCATACAGTGGCCAGCTGGGTGGTCTGGTACTGGCCCTTGCTGCTACTGACGCAGGTCCTCATCCGATGGCGCTCGCTGTTGAACAGGAATGTACCAAAGATGCCTGAGTGCATGCTGTCCCAGAGGGCTATCAGGAAGGTGTCCGTGAACTCAAAGGCCGATGGGAACTGCTCTATCAGCTGGTGGACACAGTCAAGGAATAGCAGGAAGATCGGGGACTGGTAAAGAAAATAATGAAAGATGAAGAAAGGTTAGAAAAAGAGCTCTTTAATGTCATTCTAGTATCAAATGGAGTCTGAACAAATCATACATGCAGATTCTACCAGCATTTTTTAAATCTTAAAAGCAACTTATTCATAATAATTTAAAAGCAACTAAAGAATGTGTTTCAATGGCAATAAAAGCTATTGCACTACACACTTTTTAATCAAAATATATATGAATTACAGCACACAAGACTATATGGTCATGAGTGATGTATAGTTAGCGCTCCTCTCACCTCTTAGGTAATAAACCCTCTTAATCCCCAAACTACCAAATTGACCATGAAATGACTGCACATCATCATAATCTCAACCATTGAGGATGGTGTCCGTTTACTGTCAGTTATACATGGACACATGTCTATTATCTGCGTTATGAGCCTTTTAGCAGTTTGGGTTGATGACAATTGTTTAGGTATATCTGGTCTTTTGAATAAGCTTGAAAGGTCCTTCATCTACAACATGTTGGGGGCTTGTCAGGTATCAGTCCGGGTCTAATGGGTGACAGTTCCGCAAAAGAAAGTGAAATTGATCATCTTTTTTTGGTCTATAGTTAATCTCTTGTTGGGTTTGTCAGAGTGACTGGGATATAAAATTGACAGTACAGTGTAATGAGTTGGGTATCCTGCAATCCTACCTCTGTTCCGCTGCTGGGGACACAGTGTCCACAGCGGTCAAGGAACGGGTGACCAGCTACTATCCATTCCTTCTGTAACAGGCTCTGGAAGCCCAGCTGACTGCGGTAGTGACTGTCTAGCATGATCTGGGAGAGGCTTGCCACTACACACGAGTAATCTCTACCCTGTGATTCTGTACATGGTGGAATCAAGTAGAAAACAGAGAGAAAAAAAATATTAATACGAACAATATCAAGAATAATAATAGTGGGTTCTTGTCTGTCTGACTTGACACTCCTGACCTGGCGCTTCACAATTATATACCTCGGCTTTAACACGGCTGCTATTAAGGCGCTCTAGCATTTCAAGGAATTAATTCCTGCCAGGTACCCATTTACCTCATCTGGGTGGAATGTGGCAAATGTAGATTGATGTCTTGCCATAAAAGACATTACCAATAGTCCTCTTTTTCAAAGTGTATCTTTGTCGGATTTTATTGTTATTTGGTGTGCTTTGTTTTCTCATTATTGGTTGTTTGTTTCTAATTGGCACCAGGTAGGATAGTAAATATCTTAATTCATAAAGGAGAATCAAAATGTTGGCGGAAATAGAAATCCATTAGGCTATTAAACATAATCAGATAATTAAACTGCATTAAACTGATATGGTATTAGTATTCATTACAGTTAAACATTTTCAGTCCCCAGACCTTAATTAAAGTAGAATAACCATGCTGGCATATTTATCAATTGGTTTCATCGCACTTTATCTAAGAATAAGTCTTCAATCAGTTTAAATAAGGAATACCTAAACCATTTTATCCATGGCTTGCAAACCTTGCCTGAGGGCATTCCGACCTCTCCTGGGACCCTTTTTAGGTCTGTCTTCATCAGCTCGAGATTGCCAAATATCCCGCTATTTCAACTATCCCGATCGCAAATTATCCAGTCAATGTGGGTCTTCATCAGCCCTAAGTTGCAATTAGCGGGATATTTGGTCGAGATGATCATCCCAAGATATCTTGGGCTAGTTTGCAAAATATCCCGCTATCTGTCCGGTGCGTCTTCACCAGCCCGAAGACTCGCACTAGCGCAAACGCTGAGGAAAATATCTTGAGCTAATTTCCAGAGCTCGAGTTTGAAGTTTTGAAGTCGAGTCTCGAGCTGATGAAGACGCGATTTGTAACTTCGGGATAGCGGGCTATTTGGCAATCTCGAGCTGATGAGGACATACCTCATGAAGCTCAACTCCCGAGGCGAGGGCATGGTTGACAGGAAGGAGAGAGAAAAGAGGGAATATATCGAGAGGGGACAGGAAATTCTAGAGGAGTTTTGACCATGATAGGATGAAGAGTGACCTTAATCCTTTAATAGGGAGATTCTTACCCTGCATTTCATCTAGTAATAATTACCCTTCCTAGGGGAAAAGTGTTTAGAGTGCCACTCCCTTTCAATAATATAAAGAGGTATCTCTCTTTCACTCTTCTTCTTATAAGTACATGTTGCATAGACTTAATTGTTGGTTAATCATTTTGCCACAATTCTAACAAATAATGCATCTGTAAGATTGTGTCCTGTTTTGAGGAAAGGTTACTCATTTCATCTTTACATAAGTAACCTGTCCCATGGGACAAACAAATGTATTAAGCTGTCTCTTCCCCCCCCCCCCCCCCCCCCCCGCCCTCCCCCTCTCCCCTCCCATTTAGAAGGGATATATCTATCTTCTTTCAAAGTACTGGTACAAGGAAGTACAATCAGGCTTCATATTTTACAACTAATTATATGAAAACATTGGATATGGGGAGGATACAAATTGGGACCTTCTGAAGAAAAATATTGCCCTAAATTTCATCTATAAGTTTTTTAAACCTTCCTGCAAATAAAAATGAATTAAAAAAGGATAAGATGGTTCCCAATTCTCGATTATGGAATAATGGATACCTCTGTCAGGTTTTATTGTACCGGTAAAATCTAAGCACCTGTTGGCTTGGTGTTTGATCCTGATACAATTTACAATTAGGGAAATTTGCCTTTGAAGCCCAGATAATATGTAAATTATTGTACCTTTTCTGTTCTTAACAGTAGTTGAAAACAACAACAACAACTTAGGAATATACGACTACAAATAATTGTTATGCTCTTAATGTTAAATACAGTATCTACATGGATGCAAATGTGAGATTACAAATTCTATCGGTTAGTCCAGATAAATTTTATGTCCGTTGGCCTCATAAAGCGGCCATTTTTTTAATGAAATAAGACCAATAAATGTCGAACAACCACCCCTGTTGCAAGACCTGCATTTTTAATAACGCTTTCAACAGCTAGTGAAAAGAAGTACTCAAAGGAAATCTAAAAGTATTTTTCATACATATCATCTACATGTTGAGTGTAAACAGGATTTCAATTCCATTTCCTTTTCCGTCTTGCTTCCACATTTCAATCACCATTCCTGCCCCACTGACGTAGAAGCCCACTTTGCTGGGGATCATATTTCAAAATAAATTTATTCCAAGCCTTTACCCGGATCGTGATTCTGCCTATTAAAAGAAGTCTGGTTCTTGAGATTAAGGACAGATCGGACTATAATGTACACAAAAATAATTTTCTATGCTAAATACGTCTCTGAATGCTTGACACAATAAGTTTCTCCAATAGTAATATCCTTTCATATGTTTGTGTAAAGATATAAAGATATATGCCCTTGATGAGGACAATCTTTGTGTACCTTAACAATTTCTATGTTAAAAAAAAAGATTATCTTCTGCAAATGTAGTACTAATAACAATGTACAACAAAACTGTTGGTGTAAAAAAGCACCCAGTAAGGTGGAGGTAGGGTTAGTAAATCTTTCCCTGCAGTACTTGATGGTTTGCTTGTCTTACCAACTGCTAATAATGCATGTGTATGCTTGTAAGTAAGCAACCAGGGGACCTGGGACAGCTTTAAATCCTCTCCAGGGGACTTGATAACGAGGACTGGCTATGCCTTGCCAAAGGGCACTAGCGCATCAACTTGGTCTCCAATCTGAGACCTCCCAGTTATGAGACACCAACACTCCCATTAAGCAAATGCATCTCCACAAATAATCAAATGTACAATTAAAAACTGTTGATAAAACGGCACGCCCAGTCAGATGCCATGTACATACAAACAAATTTCTGATACAAACATGGTTTTACACTTAAAGATAAGATTAAAGATCTCTTCTGGCTTCCGGCACAAACAGCAGGTTATAATTTAGAATAAGCACCTTATGTTTACAAAGGTTTTCTAAAAATTCAGTTAAAGCCGAGGGTGGGTCTAAGATTGTATTGAACAAAGGAAAACATTGATCCATGACTATTAACCTCCTTGGTTAAACATGGGTTTTATCAAAAGCTTAAGCATTGGGTTTGAATTTTAGTTGAAAACAGGTCACAGACTGTATAATCTATGTAAATAAGCATGATTGTACAAAGGGCACATGAATGTATTAGATATGAAAATCTAAATCTAATCTGCTATTAAAAGGACAACAGTTTTGTTATATATACCTTTAATGATGACGGTCTTCTCTGCAATGTAGATTCTGTCAGCTGCTTCCTTAGCTAGACTGAGGCATGTTCTGTAGAATTAAAACAAAATTGAAGATGGAGAGGAATCAATAAAATGCAATAGAAATAAGAAGATAAGAAGAGACTTTCTCTCTAGGTTTTAAAACAAAATCTGCTGTCTCTGAATTTTCTGTTTCCAAACAATTCAAGTACTCCAAAAGATGGATTACCCTTTAGAATTCTTAATATTTGAGAACACACCTTTAACGATGCACCTATATTCATCTTTCCATTTTTTATGAATACTTATTTCATGTGTGAAACCTTTTTTCACTGATACACCTGACAGAGGCTTCAGTGACAGAGCAACAGTACATATGCAAACTAATGTTCCAAGGTAAACAAAAACAAAAACAAAAAAAAGGAAAAAAGGAAATGGGTTGATGGAAGAGATCAACAAAACAATGGGACAAGAAGGAGAGAACAAGAAATCACAGATGTAAACTATTTACTCATTCTTGCACAAAATTTACAATGACCTTGTGTCTGGTTGTTGAGACATTGTAAAGTTTAATAATTACAAGCTGAACCCATGGTCAATTGATATATTAAGACAAAGTATCATTTGATTTGAAAATCATTGCAGTGACCGTCTATCACATACACAGCATCCCTTTAAATATCAAACCAATAGATTTTTTTCCAAATAAAAAGCCATTAGCTGAATATATGTCACTACAGTGTGCACTCAACAGATGTGTTAACAACAGGAACTGGGTAATTACAATGCGAACATTGGGGCTCACATCTTCCTCATGAACAAACTGAATTTCAAAACATTGACAACTTCCACTCAGCAAATATTTTGAGGAATCATGCAAGGATCAATTACAAACAGTCATCTAGGTATTTATTTCCTGTGTTTATGGCACGTGTCAAAGGGATTTGAAGATCAGCGAAAGGAGTACAATACATTGCAGGATATCGCTTAGAGAAGAGGAGAGAAAATCAGGGGTTTTTTTCACCAGAATGGCAACATTATGAAGTTTTAAGATTGGATATTAATGCTCTTCATTTTTTTAACAGCATCCAAAAACTATTAGATTTCTCTGATATGAGTTGATATCATCAGGATGTATAGTTTTTTTGTTTAGGATTTGAAGAGAAAAAATAAAATAATAAAAAACTCAAATTACCTTGTTGAATCTGCATTTGTAAATTACATTTTTCCTTTTCATTACCCCTTTATTTTAACACATCCTGTGTTAATTTCTTTAAGCATTATAATTAAGCAGTTTTGTTGGAATTTGCCTTCTTTCTAAATTTGTATTTTGGATGATGCAATAGGACTTTTCTGTAAAACAGGCAAATGAATGAATGAATGAACTGCTACCTAACTTACAATTACTACTTGATCTTTGATAATAGATAAATCTTGAAAATATATTTCTGAGAATTTGTGACCTATTTTCCTACTATGCAGTACTGTACATTATTTTTAAATGTTTCTGATGGCCTTGTAAACTTTGAAACTTCCGGACCTGAAATGAGCTCATAAAACTGACAAACTACTGGGACGTGAAAAACAACTACATATTTCTCATTCATATAAAAGTTCTTAATAGTTGCACCTTGAGCACTTGATTGTCAAGTGGATTTCCCGCCTTACAAATCTCATGTTTTATTATTATTATTATTAATAATCAATCATTTGGCAAATGTCAACATCACCCCAAAATCAAAGTTACAGGTGCACATACTAATGTTAATCACAAGTAAACAAGTACCACTCAGGTATGGAATGGGGTATACAAATTCCTCTAAAAAAACTTGGAATCATTGGTGCGATCTTTCACTGGGGATTTTCTGAATAAATATGCAAGATATGAAATACCCCCAAAGAAAGGGGTTTTCACGTTCTGTTCGTTGTATTCAATGAATTATAATATTGACTCAAACTTCCTTGCTCAGAATGTCATTATGACTATAAAAGGCCCTGTTTGCAAACGATCTGGTATTGGTAAACTGCCAAAAAAAAAATCATGGTGGCAAAATAGACTACCGGTAGCACTTTTAAAGGTAATACAAAGTTTTGGTATGGGGTCATGAATTTGGTTCAAATGAACATATTGGAAGCATATGCGATCCTACAATATTCAGTGATCGTTGTCCCAGTTGAAATCGAGTCTAAAGTGATGAAATTGTAAATGATAAACTCTTTATGTTGTATAGTGCCCTCTCAAGGTCAATATATTAATTTAGCTATCAAACAATGTTATTTGACTAAAATCGACCGATTTGCTATTACCGTTTGGAATATAAATATCACAACTGCATATTCTGAGATTTTCATGGTCGCAACTACCATCGTATGGCCGTAGACGCTATTATAAATTTATCAAAATTTACCGGGAGCACCGGTAAATTTTTATATTCAATTTTTCTCGAAAGCAGAAGTGTTTTAGACGCTAAATTTGTTGGTGCTTATAATACATCCATAGGGGCATCCAAATATATCAATATTGTAAAGAATCACTATCCACCCAATTTTCAAAATTTACCAAAACTTTGTAATACCTTTAAAGCTGCACATTTCTGTATTTCATGACACACAGATGCCCATGTTTGGTTTACCGTTTAATAGGAGTCTTTGTTGCATGCAGATTCATCTCCACTTCCCATCTATCTCAAAGAAGGGAGTTTACAGATACAATCTGCGCATGGGCAGATATAGGTCATTTGTACCAAAAAGGTAAAACCCACAGAGATGAATATTGGATATGCGCTCATGAAAGTTATGTAACATTATTCATTTATGCACCAACGGTACATTCTAAGATACGCAGGTGGAAGTATTCTTTTCAAGAGGGCAAACAAAAGGTATTCATGAAGCACATCTAGGACATTGGCAGTTATTATTCTAATATGCTCAAAGTGGAACTTCTCTCTGAGTAAAAGATCTGTGGATATTTGGGGTCATTTGTACCATGTGCTATCTGTAAACTCCCTTATTAAAATATCTTCATTTTGCTAGAAGCAATCAAGCATGTAAACAAAGTGTCACAAGAAGACAGCCAGCTAAGTAATTCTATCAATCATTAAAACATCATCTCCACTTCTTATTCTGTGGCCTTTTTCTCCTTTTATTTTTGTTGCCAATTAATTGCATCATGTCTAAATGACGCACACATGTCATGGAACTGTCTCTGAAGGCAATCAAGCATGTAAACAAAGTGTCACAAGAAGACAGCCAGCTAGGTAATTCTATCAATCATTAAAACACCATCTTCACTTCTTATTCTGTGGCCATTTCTTTTATTTTTGTTGCCAATTTATTGCATCATGTCTAAATGATGCACAAACAAAACGTCATGGAACTGTCGCTGGAGACAATCAAGCATGTAAAACAAAGTATGACAGGTATTACAGAAAGGAAGACAGCCAGTTAGGTAATTCTTTCAATCATTAAAACAAGGTTTGATGCAACGATGTCTGCAATTGATAGCTTCCTTTCTTCACTAATTTACAAACAGTTCTTCCTCCAATCTATGGCTAGAATTCGACTTTGTTTTGAATATTTGAAAGAAGATGTGGAAATGAAGTTAATCAAGTGACTAGACCCTGTACAAACAACCACAGGCAGGGGGGCTTCAGAGGTTCCCATCCATCCTATGAAACAGACACCTATCAATCATTTTCAGCATCTTTATGGAACCCTTATCACTTAAGATTCTGCTTATATCTACAGTTAAAAACTGAATTATTTATACTCCTTGTAAGTTCAATGTTGTTGTTTTTGTAAGGTGGACTGGTTGAATTAGGGACTTTGTTGAATACTTTTACCGGTAGATGTAAGCTTTTATATGTCACATTCTCAAAAACATAATTGGGGACAAATCAACTTTTCACATACTTTCACATACGATTAAAAAACTTGGTCAGGGTAAACATAATTTTGTTGACTGTATGTTCATGTCCAATTAAAAAACTTGGTCAGGGTAAACATAATTTTGTTGACTGTATGTTCATGTCCAATTAAAAAACTTGGTCAGGGTAAACATAATTTTGTTGACTGTATGTTCATGTCCAAGCATACATATACATTGACAGAGACTGTGACATCATAAATGTCCGCTCTGTAGCTTTATATTACAGAAGATATTTCAATAATAGAATACAAAGCACTTCAAAACTCCTTTTCAATAAAAAATAACAAAACAGCTACCAGGTACACTTATATTTCCCACATACCGAACTCACCCACGGGATGCTCAAGGTGCCTAAAAATGTAACCATTACCCTAAATTATTAAGCTAAGCTGTCCTAATGTGTTGAAAGTATACAAATAATTAAATATTGGATTCCATCAAGTAACTCTACTTCAATTTTAATACTACGAGTCAAATACCAATATTCTAGTATTATCAAGTGCATATTCATGTACCGGTAGATTAAATATTCTGAAAATCCCCACAAAAACACTTAAATAAACAGGACAAGGTAGACCATGGTTAAAATCTGATTTACTCAGAACTAAAATGGTGCCTGTAGTAGGCAGTCAAAAGGTATGTCTTCATCAGCTCAAGATTGCCAAATAGCCTGCTATTTCTGATTTGGGAAATAAGCCCAAAGTTGCAAATCGCGTCTTCATCAGCTCGAGACTCGACCTCAAAACTCAAAACTCAAGATATTTTGCTCGGCCTTCGCGCATGGTGCGAGTCTTCGGGCTGGTGAAGGCGCACCGGACAAATAGCGGGATATTTTGCAAACTAGCCAAAGATATCTCGGGATGATTATCTCGACCAAATATCCCGCTGACTGCAACTGCAGGCTGATGAAGACGCAAATTAGCTGGATAGTTTGCGATCAGGACAGTTAAAATAGCGGGTTATTTGGCAATCTCAAGCTGATGAAAACAGGCCTAGACAGACATCATAAATTTGAGAGCTGTCAGAAGTCAGGGGGAGAAGGCTTCCTTCCCAAACTCAGCTTATCTAAATGTCAAACTCGAAGGCCAGGAAACACTTAATCCATTGACTAGACCAATTACATTAAGAAGAGCCAGAAAGGGGCGCTGAGTCCATGCAGCAAAATATTCCACTTACTATCTGACAGGGATGTTGTTATTGTTGTTGTTTTGATGCCAAGTCATCGTGAGAACAAACAGTCAGAACATGAAATCATTTAAAGCTCAGAAATGGGTGATTACAAAGAAAAAAGTGGAGTGGGAGGGGGAGGGGTGGTATTATATAATATTGTGAATAAAGAAAGGTAAACAGTTTCCTTCTCTTTCCAAATTATGAAATGCATACCGGTACATTCAGTGTTCTTGAATGAAAACTGTATAAATTGATATGCAAGCTTTCATCTATATCCTCAGCCCTGGGACGATCTTATGTTTTAACATTTACCTTTTCAAAACCCTTTGTTATAACTGTATTAGGTTATTACATGTCTGTTGTGAAAGTAATGACTTAACCAAGTAGATTTGCAAGATAAATTTACATAGGTAGACGGGGAACCAAGTCTATTCCCAACTTCAAATTTTATGTCCAATGAATACATCTGCACTTTGTTTTTATTTCATTTTGTTTTAAAGTATTTAAAATAAATCTCAAGATACACTCATCTTTCAAATCCACATATTAATCTTGAATAATACTTTCCATTACAATTCAATACCTCAGATAAAAGTGGTATCATATTTCTATTACAAAAGTCCTAATTTTAGCCCTCCATTTTCCATAATCATACACCTAACTTAAATAGGTTTGGCAGAGCCTATCTTGGGTGCTATGCCTCATGCATGAGAGGAAATGATATACGCCCGTTTCACCTAGACTGATTAATGGAGCATGTCAACGCTCTAAACTGCTCAAGCTGTCCTCATTATCAGAGAGAGAGAGAGACAAGGGAATCAAAGGCAACACATAAGGAAGGACTACAGGAGGAGGGTTTTTCTGCAAGCACATCTGTAAACAATCTACATGTATATAAGGAACTGAATTCAAGGGTATATCTATTTTGAAGAACAAACATAAAGTACTTCTGGATTAAAATTATTTCCCATGTTCCCCTGTTTGGTTGTACGACACATGCTCCTGCGACAATTGTTTCGTTGTCAATGGCCAAATTCAGTTCAATTGCAACAATGGACCCAACACTACACCTAACCCTAACCCTAAACCTATAACACTAACCCTAACCTTAAACCCAATTGCAACCCCCAGGCTAACTCTATACTTTTGCTGGAAAAAGTCAGAAGCAACTGTACCCAGAGCATAATGTCAGATCACCCCTCCCCCTTTAAGAAGGTTGTCTATGTATATGTAAGCCTTTGTGTTAGTAATTTCCATATCATGCCCTCACAGTGACCATACGTAGGAATACTCCCCAGGGAGTGGAGATGGTGCACATTGCGCCTGAATGAATCGGATGACAGGGGTAATAACATCTGTAAAGCGCTTTGAGGCAGTATTTTGTATTTAGTGCTATATATATCCAGACTATTTTTGAGTAGGGAAGTGTTTTATAGATGATCTCATATCTTATTCTTACCCCTCCCTTCTCCTCCAACAGCAAATTATACCTCATAGCCTCTCACACCTTCTCCCGTACCTTATAAATCATGGTACTTTGGAAGACGTTATGATTCATGGGGTGACTGACTTGGGGTACAGTAGCCAATGACATCACCTCTGTGGGGTTTATTCACAGATCATCGAGAAAGAGATTTTAGCTCATGGATCATTGACAGAAACGTAGGGAATAGTGCCAGAAAAGAATGAGACAGACAGGAGAGATATGCAGAAACAAGTAGAAAAGATCATCAAGAAAACGGTGAATATAACTTGTGGAGCAAAAGACTTTGGAAAGAGAAGAGTAAGAAGACAGACAAACAAACAAAGCAAAACAAAAAAAGCAAGAGAAACGGTAAAAGATACCAAAAAGGGAATAAAAGTCAGGCAAAAGAGGGGCAAAGCACCTAAACATCAGTACTTAACATTAAAGGTATGTAATACAGATGATAATCAAAAGCCCTTATCAGTGCAATAAATAAAGGAAAAGTGTAATAATTATTTTGCTATGTTGTTGCAAATGCTTTAAGTTTTCATGAAAAAGGTTGTTTTCGTCTTCTCAAAAGGATGACTACGGACAATGAATGGTAAAAAAAATTGTTCAAGGTCCGTCATAGAAAACAAGAAGTAACCAGACATCTATTTAGAAGCTATCAGACAAGAGATAAACACAAAGTGACTGTGCAGATAAAAAAAATCACAGCTTTTCAGAAAGAATACTTTCTTCAATTCTTGATAATCATAAACAAATAATTACACCCCAAAATCAAAGTTTCCAGATAAAGACCAACTGTTTATACATGTAGGTAAGCAAAGAACTTGAAAAGAAATGTACTTATATTCTAGATAAATTTCTAGACAAATTCCATGTAATTATTGACAGAGATAATTAAGTTGTCTGTACACCAGTCATAGTACAAAGGAACAATACAAATAATGCCAATATGTATAAGGAAATATTAATGGGAGGGGTAAGGTCCATGTTTGAAAGATAATTTCATGAATGAACAGAATTGATAGTACTGGTACTCATAACAACTGATTTTTATATATCTCTGAGACATGTAGTTACATGTCAATGGACTTTAAACACCATCTACTTAAACAATATAAATTTCTTAATCAAATGTGGATAAGAGGAAAGTTAGGGGGAAATGACCCATTTCTAGTACTCCTGGTACAGTGTAAACTTCTGACACCCCAAACAGTCAATAAAAAAGTTCACTCAAACAATTGCCCTGTGATTATGTATTCCTCAGAAAGGAGCAAACATTTGATATCATTCTTCATCCCAGGTGACTGAATGTACATGTATATCCCTATTCTCTGCGTCACCACGCTTTCAAAAGAGTCATTTACAAATATGTCATGTGCAGCTACAATGATCGATAAGCGTAAGTTGTAATAAAAATAACAATAATATTTGTTTCTTGTATAGCACATATCACATAACATTTCTATGAGTTTCCAAAGAGCTTTGGAAATTATGTGTATGAGGGCAACTACTTGATGCCTCTACTGAGAAATCTTAAGTTTGCAGTGCAAGACTTTTAATATTTGCTTTCTTCTGATGGCAAAGTACAGAGCTGCAAATCTAATCTTTTGTCTCAAATCTCTATTCTCAAATCTCTATTTCATAATTAAATTTGGCTATAAATGTCTTTTCTTGGAAGTTCACGACATGCCTTTGATTTTGACAAGTAGCTTAACCTCTTCTGTGTGGTGGCTGGCACATACCACACAAGAATATGAATGTTCCACTATATGTTTAAGGAAAGTCGTTGCTATTAATTTTAATCCTGAAGCAGAAACACAACTCTGTACATCATGACTTTTCCAAGAGAAGATATTTATAGCAAAATTTAATAATGAAATAGAGATTTGAGACATAAGATTTGATTTGCAGCTCTGTACTTTGCTGTTAAAAAAAAGCAAACTTAAGATTTCTCGGAAGAGGCATCGAGTAGTTACCCTCATAAACTAAAGCTTATCTATCATTGTAGCGTCATGTGACATACTGGTAAATGAGTTCATAGAAAGCATTTTGATAGTTGATTCAGAACACTGTTTGCAACCCTCCAGGGCACAGAAAGGGTTAACATGTCACAAATTAAAGTTTGACAAAGTACAGTCGAACCTGCACAGAAAGACCATCCAAGGGAGATACAAAAGCGGTCTTTGTGTACAGATTCAATGAGAATCAGTGTTTTATAAAGGAAACAGAAAATGTGGACTTTAAAGACGATGTACTCTGACACTTGTTTTTTAAATAAGGAACAGTGTTTTGAGGTAAACAGAAAATGTGGTCTTTATGTACAGGTTTAATCACTAACTCATGCTTTTTAAATGAGCATCAGCGTTTCGAGAGAAGGTCTACTGTACCAAATATTTAAAAACTGAGAAACAGTGTTTCCGGAGAAAACAGGAAATGTGGTCTTCATACAAAAGTCTACTGTATCACATATTTTTTTAATGAAAAACAGTGTTTCAAAGGAAACCAAAAATGTGGTCTTTATACAATAGTTTCCTCTATCACAATTTTTTTAAAGGAGAAACGGAAAATGTGGTCTTTATATACAGGTTTAATCTCTAACACATATTTTTTAAAGAGAAACAAAAATGTGGTCATTATAGACACATGGTCTCTGTACACAGGTGGTTGCTAAAGCAGACTGACTGTTTACTATCTTACCCTATCGTCTGTAGCCACTTGGTACTGTCCAACGTTGAATACCACTTCTCGTCTGTCGTCCAGAAGTCTTTGATGTTTTCTGAAAAATTATACAAAAATATGAAATCAAAACCTCAAAAATCAGGGATAGAAGATAGTTTTTACTTTTTATCCAAATTTCCTTTGCAGTGAACTTCATACGTCATAGCCTAATTGTGTACATATAATAATAATCATAACATATAGGATTTATGAGGTGCCAAATCCACTTAAAAAATTAAATATGAATCAAGTAGGAAAAGTCTAAACAAAGAGATATCATGGCCTGAAAGCTGTACACATGCATAAAGTGTTTGGGTAATGTAAGACAACAACTTAGTTATTATATCACATCATAAAGAAATACCCAGGGCATCGTTTCACGAAACCGTCATAAGTACCCGGTGGGGTCACTCAATGTGACTTCCGGACCGCATGACCGTTACCAAAATCGCGGAAAAAGGGGTCAATTTCAAGCAATGTCCGCGGACAAAATATTCCTCGAAATAAAGAAAATAGGGGTGCACAGGTGCCCCCGAAATTGATAAATAGGGGTCAGGAAAAGGGAAAAGAGAAAACCGGGAAGGGAAAAGAGAAAACCGGGAAGAAAAATTCTCAGAGCCGAGTCTTGTCCTTGAAATATGGTAAAATAGGGGTAAATTTGCGAAAGTGTCCTTACAATCTTATAAATAGGGGTATTCCAAAGTCCGATTTTGTCCTTGTTTTGACGTAAAAAAGGGGGTTAAGTTTCACAAAATGTCCTTGAAATTGACCGGAAAAGGGGGTTATATGCATTGGTGGTAACGGTCATACGTGTCACTCTTTGCAGGGGAGTGACCCCACCGGGCATAAGTATAAGTTCAACAGCATTGAGTCAGTGGTCATTTTGTTGAACTATTAATAACCCTCTGAATCAAAAGGGTCGAAATGCAACATTTATCTGTCTGAAGCAACTGTCTGAGCAAGAACCGAATCGGTGGCTGTCTATAAACCCACAGTCGTGAAACATGAGATTTCTACTCCTGCATGGTGCTAATGAGACTGAGTTAAGTCACTTTTTGTAACAGAAAACTAAGAATGAGCTCGAATTCCCAGAGCCATGAATCACACTGCCTTCAATGCATGAAGGATTGCCAAATTGAATTAAAAAGTCATACCCCTCTGACCCTCCCCCCCCCCCCCTTCTGATGACGGCAAACATTCTATGAGTATGTTTTTTGGTAGTGACTTGGCAGAATTAAATGGTTCTATCACAAATTGATAAAAAAGCAGTCTACCATGCTCATATTCTGTGCAGGGTAGTTTTAAACAAAATATATATGGGGAGAATACAGGTATTTTGGAAGGAGGACATTACAGTAGTAATGGTATTTATCTCAAATAGATGCATCTATTCATCATTCCATTCCTTTATTCACTAATTGTTTTTGTATTAAAGAAACTGCTCCAAAAAGGTTACAAAATAAATTTCTCTAAATTATTCACAATGAAAAACCAAATTGTTTAAGCCTTTCAATATTGCCATTTCATATAAAAATGATTAACAGATTTGTCAACAGAAATATGTAGAATGACAAGCCATTTTTAGGCAAAAAATGAACCATCCTAAGTTTCTCATTTGTATCATCAGGTATTTGTTAGACGAGCTACAATAACAAAAATGCAAAAGCTACAATTTTGTTGCGCAGTGGTGTTTAACATTATAAGAAGCAAAAAAATATTTCTATACCAAACACTCCCTTTTTTAATCTTTAAAAATAGATTTGTCATGGGGACTAACATAACAGCAAAATGCATGAAATGGGCAGTCAGGGTTTATACATTTGTTAAAATTTAATTTAGGGGAAATCCACGAGGAGTCTGACAAAATTAGAGTGCCATGATAAGATTAAATTTTACACATGTTTGAAGAAAAAAAAAATTCTTTTAAAAACCAAGACAGCCAATTAGCCTGGTTATGTAATCAACACGGGACTTGCTAACTTGGCAGTGAATTCTGGAAAACTGCCACATTCCTTGGAGGCTATTTCTGAAAACACCCATTTTTACTTGTAAGGGATTTAGGAACGAGGTAATCCAATTTGTTTTGGTGCTGAACGATGATCTTTTTTCTTCATACCACATTTTTGTACCAAAGAAGAGTTTGGTTTATCGTGGTTTAGTGGAGGTTATTTTACCTGACTGCTAAGAAAGCATGAAGGCTTGTTAGTAAACAACCATATGACCGACAGCTTTAGGTCATCTCCGAGGGACCTGGTAATGAGGATTAATGCCTTACCAAAGAGCACTAGTGCATCAACTTGGTTTAGAACCAGGGTCACTGAATTTACAGACCACTGCTCTACTAACTGAGCTATCACGCCTCCTCCTTGAGTGGTCCTAAAACATCAATGGGAAGGTTCTTGGGAAAGCTGAGACTGCAACGTATCTTGGTATCCATCTCAAGAATAACCTGAACTGGACCTACCACATCAAAACTGTCATTAAGAATGCAAGCAACATCGGTGCCTTTCTGCAGTGAAACATCAGGCCTTGCCCAAGGAAGACGAAAGCACTGTGCTACTTAGCACTTGTACGTCCCTTCTTGGAGTATGCTAGCACGGGATCCTCATAGTCAAGACAACATCCAGAGACTGGAAAATATTTTTTTCATTTATAAGCGAACCTCTCTGCTTTCAAGGTTTGCTTATTAGTGAATCTCTCTGCTCTTAATGTCCGCTTTAATAGCTAACCTCTCCGCTTCCAAGGTTTGCTTATATGCAAAGTGGCTGTTCATTGTTTCCACCATATCTCTATTGAGAAATGCTGCATTGACCTACCTGGCATGCACATGGACTGAAGCTTGAGGTAACCGCTCTGTAGTTCCTGTATACTGGGACATTCTTTGCCGATGTCTATGATGTCTGGATGCACCTTGGAGGGATGGATGTGAATAACGCTGTCTAGAAACCTGGATCGGGAGAGAGAAAGATGAGTGAGTGAGTGAGTGAAGAGGGGTGGAGAGTGGAGGATTGATAAGGGGAATATGAAAAATAAGAGGAAGATATAAGAGAGGAGAGGAGAAAATGGGAGAGAGGAGGAGAGAAAGTGGGAGGGAAAGAGGGTATAAAGGAGAGTTTAGAGGTAGAGAGATAAAGGAAGGGGAGAGAGGAGAGAAAAGGGAGAGAGGAGAGAAAGAGGGAGAGAACGGGGGATAAAGGAGAGTTTAGGGGTAGAGAGAGAAAGAAAGGGGATAGAGGAGAGTAAGAAAGGAGAAAGAGGGGAGAAAGAGGGGAGGGAGAGAGTGAGAGAGAAAAGGGGGAGGGAGAGGGAGAGAGAGAGAGAGAGAGAGGGCAGAGGATAAGCAGTAGGGGGTCGGTTGCAAAAAGAATACTAATGATATCTTGGCAATGAGCAGGTGAGGTTTACCTTATATCAAATAAAAATATAAACCAATTTAGGGACAGTCCATTGTTGCTAGATCTTATCAGAGTGGTCTACACAATCACATTATCTATTTCTGTACCACATTAAATCTACTTATAGGGGATTAAGGGGGTACTTCTAGCATTACCCCTGGTATCTGTGTATTACTCATTTCATGTAACTCTTGTAAAATCATATTTCTGTCTTGATAAAAGTGTTCCATACATTTCTAACATAATTTCTTTATACAGGTGAATCATAAGCCATGAGATTAAATGAGTTGGGGAATAGATCCATGGGCATAATATGATTTGGTACCATATAGGAAATGGCAAAATTGAATCATGTCACTTGATGTTTGCAAATTTACGGATATCCCTAAAGACCTATCATACATCAGATGACACAATGTGCAATATTTCTCCCCCTTTGTATCTGAATATAGATTTCTAGCAATGATAACAAATAAAACAAAGTAAGCATTTGCAAACTAAGTTACCATGAAACAAAGGCCACTTAATTCTTGCAGACCAAATCTGTTCATATTGTGTAAGTGCTCATTTTTGTTATAACTACATGAATATTCCAATCATTTCCAAGTGTCAATCACCCAAGAGTTCTGTCTCTCTCCTTCAAAACTCTCTTTCAAGTCCGCTCCTCAAAAGTTATGTTTATGATAGAAGAAAACAATTTGATATTGCATCATATTGACGGGGCTCCTGCATCTTGACTTATGTGAAATCAAACTTCTATTTTATACAGTTGATCTTTTCTAAAAAATTAGAATTTGTCAAATGTTTATGAACAGTGTAAATGTATATTTCTTTCATATTGCTGTGACATGTTTTAAGATTAACAGTAATATCTAGAAACCAATGTGTAATACTTCAATATGAAGTCAATGTTGGATCTTTGATTTGTATTGGCCCAATATTTTTTCTGGCTTTATTCATTTTTTTTTAAAGGTTTCTATGACTTCTAAAGACTCCTACAGCCACATGGAGAGAATTGAAGAGGCTGCCTGTTTTCTGTGAGGGGATGTGAATTTTTCACACCTAGATAGAATATTTCTTTGAAAGGCAAGGTGCATATGTTATCACCACAGACACGGTGGATATGTTCTCACTAAGAGATACGATCATCTGCAGCTTATTTAGTCATCAAACAGAACCTAAAAGTTGTAACAAGGTTCCGTTGCAAGCACGTCCCAGAGACTATTGTTTCTAAAATTATCATCACGGACTCCCCAGTGCTTCTATTCTTACGGGAGAATCTGTCTAACATTTCTGTGTGAACTCCCATTGACTCCACTCCTATCCCTAAAAAGCTGAAATTTTGGCTGAGGGCTTCATGAGTCATGTGATAGCTGGGTCCCCATGGTCCCATCGGAGCGCGCGAAACTCTATTTATGAATTTGGATGGATATTTTCAGGAGCTTTATCAGGTTGGCAGCACCTTAGACCCTGCATTAGCAGTCCTTCTCCCGTAATAGAATTATATATTAATTAGCTAAAATTCAATTAAGCATCCATCTAGTTAACTGTACTTTGGAAACATGAAACTTCTGTCAATCTCGACCGCTCCTAAAATTCACTTCAGTTTCATGCTCACTGAAATTTCATGCAGATATATGCTTCTGGTTCTACAGTTACTGGTTGCGGGATTTTTCTACTTTTTTTTTGTGGTAGGCTCTGAAATACTTTAAGAATATCTGAAATGTATGATAAATAGTCATCATTGACAAGTCGCAAAAAGGTTCAGGTCAGAACAAAAATTATGGTTGGAGAGTATGTAACCCTGATGCTTACCACTTCTCAGACTCGTTTTCGATAATGCTGTCAGAGGGTGCCGTCATCCTCATTAGCATACTCCCATTCCTGTGACTCCAACACCAGAACTAGAAAGAATGAAGAAGGACAAAAAAGAGGGAAAATAAAGACTAAAATCAGAAATACTGAATGATGCAAAGCAAGAACAATTTAAGATAATAAATACAAGGAGTTCATTAACGTTACATTAAAATTACAGCTCGAAACAGTGTCTCATTTTTGTACCGTATTAACCAAATTGATAACGAACCATATTCTTAGCTTTTTGATACCTCTGTCAAATAGACATTCGTTCAGGGGGAGGGGGGGGGGGGGCTTAAGTGTTGGTTCTCATTTTAGTTTCCAGAGCACATTTTGAGTTTTCCAGAGCTAAACTACTAAAGTCACTCTCAGCTTCTGCACCTGTATATTCATTATCAGTAGAAACAACTTTCAAAGAAAGCTAGTGCGAACAGAATTAGTGATTATCAGAAATCAGGACATAGAAACTGGGAAAATGAATGAAACATTTATTTGTGTCATAATGAAATATGAAATGGGTGTAACTTTTCAAAAATTGTACATTCCTACATTATGATGGTGACCATGAAACATACATGTCTACATATCATGTAAGCTCAGTTCTCTTGAATCTTTGATGTTGTAAATCTCGTAAATCCATAATGTTTCCCTTTACGCACAGGGATTACAAGATATATATATATTTGTTTGATGTAAATCCTCTGCTAAGTTCTGGACTCAGACAGGGGTGAGAAGTGATTGGTTTCCATGGCAACACATCCCTTCAAGGCAGGTGCTATGAATTCCAGGAGATCCAGAAATCTAGAGCATAATAGCTGATGAAAAGCCATGGCTGGAAATCTGGTTTTCAAAAAACCAGGAATAGACATGCTGTCAAGTGTCAGTCAGATGACAATCTCAGAACTGTTAAAAGGCACCATTGCATTGCTGTCTGAATCGGAGGGGGCCCAAACAAGGGATTAGACCCTCTTCACATCAGCTCAATAAAACGTTTCTTTCTATACTATTATCAGGCCTGTTTATAACCACCATTACAATGCTGTCTGTATCTGAGAGGCCTCGAGCAAGGAATGATAACTGGGTTGAGACCCTCTTCGCACCAGCTAAATATCGCAATTCTTTTCATGCAATTTTGCCTGTTTCAATGGAGTTTCTAACATGGAAGGACGAACAATATGAGACACTGTTCACACTAGCTAAAGACAGTGTTACTAGTAAACTGTTAACTGTGTTATTCACCCCATTAATGCAAACCGGTCTACATCAATCTCTACAAAGAATGGACACAGCAAGATCAAGTTCGTACCAACAATATTCCCCATTTCATATAGGCCCCATTCACACCAGATACATGTACACGTAAAACTGTGTTTCTTTTTATATCATTTTTAAGATCAGCTGACCACCAAAATGCCATGATGTCTGTATCAATGAGGCCTTATTAAACAAGGCAAGACGTCACCAAAGAGGCTGTTGAAATACAAAAGTTTATTTTCATGCATAATCTTCTGTAATCTATAATGTGGTTATTCTACAAGGGATCATGTGGCTTCAAACTTGTCTGTCAGAAGAAGAAAAAAAAGAGGTAGAGGTCCTGTTTAGGCCCAGCTTACATCAAGTTTTCATTAAATACTATGGTAAACATTACATTCATAAGTTAACCTATTGACTACTGAAGGCTCTTATTCCATAGACTTTAATACATGAATCCCTGGTTCCAGTGGGCACAAGGGTACTCTACTAAAGCCACAGCTCTACAAATCTCTAGCCTGATATAAAACATCTATCTCATGATATAATAATAATAATAATAAATTATATTTCTATAGTGCATTATACAAGGTATGTCTCTATGCGCTTTACATTATATTACAAGCTTAATTAATTACATACATCTACTATTGAACTATCCTCAAACTAAAATTCTGACAAGATCTTAACTAAAATAGTATAACAGTAACTAGATAGATAAACATTATAATTCATTCTTAAATAATGATACAACATATAGATATGATTACTGGTATGACACCGTTTAGACTTGGCTAAACTGACTGTTTTTATATGGTAACAACAAACTTGCAGAACTGAAGCTGAGCCCCTGCTCTTCAAAGTAGAAACATGATCTGTCAAATATGTTGTCAAACTCCTCTATGAATAGAATAGAAAATCATGTTGTCTCATGACAGGTATTCTTCCCTATCCAGAAAAAATACAAACTAAACAACTTGTTCGGCTCTTTTGATTATCGCCGGCTGCCTGCAAGAAAGCTTGTTATCACCATTGACAATACATAACTTTATGGACTTCTTGCTGGCAGCCAATATTCTTTGCTATCTAAAGAATTTCAGAAGTTCTTCATGATATAAATCATGCTTATCAGATGCCAATCAAAATCTAATTCATTTGATATTTATATATCATGTACATGTATAGGATGAGAGGAAGAGGCCTGTTTTGTATATCATGACTGAAGTTTTATCTGAAATTTAATGTTGTGCATTGAAACATTACCGATAATTCCAATCACGTTTCTTGGCATCTCAGTGATAAAGCATGTATGGTTTCATCAATCTTGGCTAACCATAACTTTGCAGTTTATGTTTCGTATTATCTAGAAATATCAAGTGATTTCCTTCCTGCTTTTTCAATATTTTTAATCTTGATGACATTCAAATCAATTTGCATCTCTTTTAAAGATAATATCAACCATTCCAAAAGTTTAATACATGTATTTACTTGTGTGACTCGTATGTTGGATGGGATGTAATGAACCAAGTAGCTGAATATTTAGATTTTGCATACCGTACTAGTAGACATCGCAAAATAAATAAAACGACGCAAAACAACACCCCCTCCCCCCCCCCCCCCAAAAAAAAAGGAAGGGGGTGTTGTTTTGCCTCGTCATTTTATTAATTGTTTGTTTTTATTATCATTGTGATGTCTAATAGTAAGGTATGCAAAAATCTAAATGTTAAGCTACATGGTACATTACATTCCATCCAACATACGAGTAACGCAAGTACATAGTACAGTATTTACAATGAGTTGAAAGTGATACCAATATTTTCCATAAATAGAGCACTGGCTAGGATTAGCAGCACTGGTGTGAATAACATGAGCCGCAATCCATAGGTTTAACTCAATACAATTAACCCTTTCCTCCCCGGTGTATGGGGGAAGACCATAACCCTGATAGTCTGAGTGTTAATCATGTGTTGGATGTTTGGTCCAGACAGAAAGGGAAGGATGAATAGTACATAAGACACTGGTTGAGTTTGCTACTAGGAGGGGAGACGATGTGAAAAAAATGTATTACAACAATACACATTTCTTCACATCCTCACCCCTCCTAGCAGCAGAATTTACCCCCTTCCTCCCTGATGGATGAGGGAAGACAGTAACCCTGATAGTCCGTGTGTTAATCATGTGTTGGGTGTTTGGTGCAGACAAAAGGAGAAAGTACACAAAGTACACGGGACTCTGGTTGAAACTGGTTGAAATCTACCCCTTTCACATGCAGAGTATCGTCTTACTCCTTCTGTGCCATCAAGTGGTTGAAAATTGTCACAAACAAACCTTAGGTATTAGAATCTTTACTCAAAATGTGTTTTATTGTCAAAAAACAATTATATCCCTACAATCCCTTGGGTAGCAACTTTACTAAAGAAATGGTGTAACTAGTTCGTACAAACTGTTGAGCATTAATAATTTTCAATGGAGTTAGCCACGACTAGAATACTGTAGATGGAGTTAATAAAATTGTTCACACTGTACGCATTTCATGAAATTATGCTTATGTCATTAAACACATAGAATTATGCCATTTATTAAGCGCGCTTTATGGAAAGGTGTAAAAAAAAAAATATCAAATTACAGACAGACCAAAGTCAGTTGATAACTAGATGTTATATAAGAAAGAAAATCAGTGTGATTATATGAAAAGGGTCAATTTCACAATGCCTAACAAACTGTGAATACTCAAGCCTTTTGCCTTTCTAAATTTTCACGTAAATGCCTATTATCATTTCAAGCTTTTTCCTGTTATTATATAATTTTTTTAATCTTTACTGGGAGTTTCCTCTAACATGTGATAAATTCCTAAGATAGTAATCCTAAACTTTCCTGTATACAGGTTTCATAAACCTCACTGTAGTCTTCAACTCTCCCCTTCATCAATATAAAAAAAAAACCATAATAACGATGTACCTTAAGAGGGCCTTCATATTAAGGTGTTGAGCCAGCGATTAAGTGCTGACAAATCACTTAATGAGTTTAATCAAGTTAAAACACACCTACTTCGAGAATAAGCTACACCTTGGCTATCAAAGTCTTCAAAAATACCAAGGAGCCTCTTTAACTTTTTCTTTTAAGAATCCTACAAATGATGGGTATACCTAAAGCCTTCAGAACCCCAGGAGCCCCATTCCAATAAGTTTTCACTTGATTAAATGATTAGTTTAGGGATCAAAAAATTGTGCTATGCTAGGACAAATATCCTGATCAATTTCCATGCAAGATATCCTTCGGAGATAAGGACAGGAGATACACATTGAATATCTACACCAATAATCGTGGGGGCAAGAACTGGGCCCTGTTTCACAAAACTTGTCATCAGTGAGAATGACAGTTTTTGTTATAAGCTACTGAAATCCTTGCTTCTGATTGGTTATAGGCCGATATGTCACTGATTTTTGTCATTTGTCATTGAAAAAAGGCTTTGTGAAATTGGTCCCAGATCACCATCACCAATGCAAGGACTATTTCTTATTCCAACAAGCCATTTAATTTTCCTCTGCTCTTGATAGTTACCTACAGTAGGACAATGCACAAGGAAGCCATGATTAACATCAGTTTTGGTTTCAGCATGGAATCTACCACACTAACAAATAAATTATTAGGTTCTTGTGATTTCTGACCACTATTAAAGAAGACAGCTTTGAAAAATGGGATTGACAAGTAATTCATCATCCCAATGTTTTAATCTCTGAAATGCCTGCTTGGATAAAAAGTATGATACAGGGAAGTATCTGTAATCCTGGGGGGTGTTTCACAAAGATCCTAAGTAGAACTTAACTCTAAGTTGGACTTAAAAATTATGGACAGCCATTGGAGTCTTAAAATGAAATATATTCAAAAGCAGAAATTCGAGTATTTTAGACTTGTTATAAATTCCACATCCAGAACATGAAATCTCCTTGATGATAGAAAATATGAATGATTTGAATAAACAATTAATGCCTTTCAAAATAACTTTTACAAAATATTTTCAAAGATGCTAATGGCTTTCCATAATTTTTAAGTCCAACTTAGAGAAAAGTTCTACTTAGGATCTTTGTGAAACACCCCCCTGGTCATTTAAAAAAAAATGCTAATTTTCTCCCCTCTGCCCCTTCATTTGTTTAAAGCTGCATATACATGTTTCAAAGTGAATGCCCACGAACCTGTTCTAGTTCTCCGAACCCCATGGCTACTGAAATACTATTTTCTCTCTTAACTTCATCCTTGACGGTTGCCAAAATTAACTCCAGGAACCCAACTGGAAAATAACGGAAAACCAAATGTCTCACCAGGGACTGAAAATATCAGCCAGCGACACGTTTTCTCTCTTCTCCTTGCTTTGGTTCATTTCCATTGAAAGTGTTTCTTTAAACAAATACATGTTTTTCTTCATTTCGGGCTGGAAAAAACCTGACTTGCCTTAATGTGTTAATTATGTGGCCTTCCTGATCATTGAAAGAGTGTGTATCGGGATCCTAGTTTCCATGAAGTACACCTAAAAATGTCTCTTCTTCACCCTTCCCTAGTTGCTTCTCTGTGTGGAAATCTCTGGATTGTGTCAAGAAAGTTTTGCCTTTGCCAGAATTGCTTTGGTGAGGTTACGGAATGATTTGGGAAAAATATACAAGGTCTATAGATACTTCTTGTTGAATCCATTTAGGGGAAACCAACATATGTTGCGATGTTGCAAAATCTTCAAACAAAATACATCTAACCTATATTTGTGGTATGGTCAAATTATACTACGGTATTTAATGATTTTTAAATAGTCTTTGTTCGCAGAAATAATTGTCTCCCATTTTTACTCTTCACCAGGAGTATAGAAACCTACACTAAATAATGAAAATAATCTGACCCTGAAGAAGAATACAGTATACAAAGTGATTTTAATTTATCTACAAAGCCAGAGAGAGAATGAAAACAAAGATGTGTTAGCTCATACAAACTGACGATGAAAAAAAAAGGAAAAAATAATAAATATTATATAAATTGTGTACTTCATGGCCAAAGATAGTACAGCTGATGATATACATGTACATGTGATGATTCCGATGAGAAGGAGGATGATGATGATGTTGGTGATGATGATGTTGATGATGATGATGTTGATGATGATTATAATAATAATAATGTCTGATTAATGATGATTATCTGAAATACAGGTACACATAACATCACAAAAAATGTTACTCCCCAAAGGACCTTGCAATGAAAGATGCTTGCACAGCCAAAGAAAGAGTTAAGAATCCCAAAACAGGAAAGTTCTCCCACTTTAATAAAAGGAACGAGACTTGAAGGAACACCACTGGGATTTTCATGTAAAACTGAGATAACATGTTTCACTGACAGATGCATTACCTGTATAAATTAAACACCATGCCGACAGTAAACAAGCTTCATATCAGCATTAAGCATAAACTGTGCATATAGGAAACACTAATGTATTAAGAGAATTACCCAGAAGGGTAAGGCAAAAAAGGTAATTAAGTGCATCTGGGAATATTTCAACAAGCTTTGGAATAGAGACAATTGCCAATTTGTGTATATTGTGTGAATATTCAGGATTCCTAATTGTAAGCTTTTATACATCAAAACTGTTATCTTCTTCCTCAATATTATATTACCTACATGTAGCTTTGCCCCCTATCCACAAGTTATAAAAGAAGTTGCTATGTCATTGCTATGGCACTACTATTTCAGCAGTGCCATAAATACAGATATAATGCAATGTGTCAATTTCAAAAACTCCTTTTTTTTTCTTCTTCTGCCTTGTCTTTGAGGGTGTAAATCACGTACAGATATAAATCTAGTGAAAGTAGGAGTAAATTTGGATCCAATCAAAACTTCTCAGGACTTCACAGAACTATCGGTAAGACCTCAAAATTTCAACAGATTGTTCATCAGATGAAAAAGAATCAAGAATGACAGAGGAATACAAGATCGCATGGTTGACAATGCAGGCAAACAGAGATATGAAAGACTTGCTTTCCTATGACTTTTCTAACATGACATTTATGGATCAGTTAATGTATAAATTAAAAAAACATGATACGGAAATGAAGGGAAGACTGGCACATGTTACAAGGAGAAGCAGGAAATATAAACATTTACACGGTCATAGCATTCTCCTCAAGTCCTCAGGAAACCTGAGATCTTTACCAAACTAATGTCTCTTTCATGAATATAAATATGCTCAAGCACGTCAGAAAGTATTCATCCTTGAATTGAAACTGTACTACCAGTTCTCCAATCCATTCATTTTCATCCAATCTTCCATGATTTAACATGGAACAGAAGTAGTTAATACCAAATTACAGGCAGAAGGTCATGCAATGGGGGCATGCTGACTTGGAGCAAAAAAAAGAGATGGTCTCTAACCACAAGGTTCTAGGTTCAATTCCAAGTTGATGATGCAGTAGTGCCCTTTGCTTTACTAGGTACTAATTCTCAACTATCAAGTCCCTAGAGGTAAGACTTAAAGATGTACACTGTAGGTCCCCTGGTTCAGTATCTACAATCAAATACTTGCTTTAAATGCTTGCTTTCTTAGTAGTAGTTGAGTAAACTAAACCATCACCAAGTGTCTTAAGGTCAACAAACTTTGGCAAGTTGAAGGTGAATCACTTCTAAGGCAATGCCTCTACTCAGAATGAACTAGATCATATTTCTGTCATCCGAACTTATTCTCGTCCCAAAGAATAACATACCATAAAAGTACTTCAAATTGAAAGAAATCTCAAAATAGGAAGAATCTTCGAGGCACACTCGGTGGAGATTTACCAAATTAATTTCCAAGGCAGTTGTGTTGATCTACACCCAACACCTGATGGGTATTTTTGTGACATTGGGAATAGAAACGGAGGAACACATTCGCAAGCAGGTGATAATTAGCTGGTAAATGCCTGGACAGGATAGCTCGTCACATGCTAACCTTGCCTTGCATGGATTCAACAACAGCTGGGCGATCGGGAGCATACGTGTGAGGGAAGGATAGAGGCTTAATGGCGGAACACATGCAGACTATCGGGGCTGTGTAAAGAGCGTGTGCAAGTCTCATGAGAGGATTAACGTTGGCATAAAGGCGTTATCAAATTAAAAGTTTCATGGCAGTTTGGGCTTTGGGTCAATTAATGCAGAGTTTGTCCAAGAATAGAGATAGAAGCAATGGACACAGTTGGGTCTTTATAAATTACGTATGAGGTGAAAGAGAAAGAGTTGGGTAAAGTACCGTTCCCTAAATTCTAAAAATCTAAATTCTACATACCTGAACAAGTGACATGCATGTAGTATTCAATCTTATCTCACATGCATTTACATGTATTTATGACTCCATGTGCTTCAGGTTTTATTCTGTAAAAGCTATATGGTTGGGTTGAGATGCACAGAGCTACAAGTATATAAATGTAAGTGAGATATATATGAAATCACTTCTTTATTCTTAGGGAGATAATCTCTTGACATTTGAAGGTTTCTGAATTGAGTGTACTGGTACAAATACATCCACATATCTACTTACAGGTACTCTGCAATCTTCAAAGTTTGTTGATGCCTTCTTTAGCTCGTAGTCTGAACACGGGTCTGGTACCACAAAGAACTCTGGCATGCTGTGTGCGGAAGAGAGAGAGAGAGGGGAGAGAGAGAGAGAGAGGGGGGGGAGAGAGGTGGGGAGAGAGAGGGGGAGATAAGGAAATATTAGAGAAAGGATAAAGAATGGAAAATATAAAATCAAATTAATATATATATATATCTATAATCAATAAACAGGTGAAGCAATAATTTAACAATTATAAGAATTATAAAAATAAAAAAGTTCAAGGAACTGAAGGGGAAAAACACATAAAGTAATCAATTAACACTAGTGAACAAGGAAATAGAAATATAGTATCATAGTTAGACAAGATTCAATAGCAGGGTAGCAAAGAATTAAGAAACAAATTTTTTTTTAAAGAATAGAAATACTCAGTTTTTACATGTACATCACAGTGGAGGCCCCTATACTTACTTTGTCAGAGTTGAATATAAAATTTTCTTTTGATAAATACAAATATCTCTGCAACCCCCTTCTCTCTCCCTCCCCCTTTTCTATTCCTCCCCTACCCTCTCTCTCTCACTCTAAATAAGTAAACAGTATCTTATCTCTCATCTGAATCTAAATTCTATTGATATTCTGACAATGTTTGAGTGTAAATATACCTTTAAAGCTGGCTTTGACAGTCTTCTCTAATCATCACCTTATAATGCACCCCAAGAATGCATCCCTTTCCTTCTTACACCACACAATGAACCCCTAACCCAGAGGGGGCTACAGGTTCTATTTAGAGATGCTACAAATATTAGCAGGCTTCCTTCATAAAACCTACACATCCTCTCGCATTTCAAATTCCATTTGTACAATTTCCTTGAAACCTGGTAAATTGCCCATTTTCTGTCCGAAAGCAATCCAACGATTCTATTCCACACAGATGCATTTTTATTTAAAATAACACTTGTTAATAGAATGTGAAAGTGTATTTGTGTGATATGTAAATGTGTTAGATGAAATTGACACTACGTGTATGAACATGTAGCATCTCATTACAGCAATGTTTATTAAAGATCCATTTCTGTTTGTTGAACAAGGAAGGAAATTACAATTAGTTTCTCACATTCCCTTCGAGCTTGAGTGTTTCCTGTAGTGCACAAGGATTGTATTTTGTCCATCTAATGTAACTTCTACACTTAATTCAGGTGGGAAGAAGCATGACTACCAACCTATTACAAGGTTTACAATCATTAATGAATTCCTTCCATTTTTGCCCAAAAGCCAACTTTTTGAGCCAAATGTTTTAATGTTGCATTACCCTTTTTGGCACCTGTCACAAGAAAGAACTTGCCCTATAAAGCATTCTTATTGTTAAGTCTCCAAACTTGGGATCAGCAATATGCATGTTGTACTAAGTGAGAATTGGTATTGGGTACGATTCATATCATAATAACGTTCACATGTACATGTAACCTATAGAGGGTGTACTTGAAGTGCGAGTGACAAAGCCCAATTATCAAAAGCAGCATGGTTTAAATAGAGATGACAGACAATAGGAGTGCAAGCAGACAAGGGGATGACAAGACCATGCCAAACACCTCCCTCTATCAATGAACGCTAATTTCCCCCTGTCTGGTCAGGAGACAATAGCCAGCAAAGGATTGTCTTACGGCTCCAGGGGACATGAGGGTGTCAAGACCACAGAGTCTCGTTGAAACTCAACAGAAATAAATGCATTATGGAGAGTACTATCCCCACCAGCCATCCAAGAATATCATAGGGAGATCTCTCTGTGGTTATGTGAGCATTTGCCTCTTTTTCTCTGTAAAGCATAAACATATACATGTACATGTACATGTACATGTACATGTAACAACAAGGTCTTTTCTCACTAGCAACACAAGAGAGATACAAGTTGATTTTGTGTTTGTTTTTTTGTCATTTGCCTCTATTTTTTAGTCTTTTGCCTCTTCTAAATGTAAAATATGCAAACCACCAGGTTTCCTTTCCCTTACAAAGTAAAATTCCATGACAAATCTTGTGATTATTCCTTTGGCTCATCAACGTGAAAATATCTCCCAGCCAGGTCTTGAGCGTATCTTTTTCTATGCACTCCACATTTCCTTCCCGTTCATCAACATTTATGCCTTGTGGTATGTTGCAGGAACGAAGAAAATCATTCTGTTCTTGACTCTTCCTGTATATGAGGAAGGTGGAATATTATACAGGGACAATATCACTCTCCAATTAATCTTTATTACAAAATTCAAAATATATTTCCCACAAAATGTTACCCTGTTATCATAATGATCATACTCCTATAGAGAAAGTTAATTGAATATACAAAGTGATAGATTTTCCGTCATTGTTTGCCTTTTTTTCTTCAGAGAATATTTTACAGCCTTATGAGTTTGTTAGCTTTAACCATAGGGACCGCTTTTTTAAAGTATTTTAAGTATGAAATCGACGGGTGTTTCCAAAGCGGTACCGCCTGATTCTGACGGCGCTGCCTCCCTAACGCATGGGTAACATCCTGTTAACGCCTTGACGTTCCCATAACGTCCTATAACGGGTCCATAACGTGTCCTTACCTTCACAGTAGCGTCATATGAACGTGCCATTACCAACAAATTTACTTTTGTCACCGTGTGCCACCGTTTGTCACTAATTATTGGGTATATATAGAGGGGTTTCGTCAGATGAGCTTTACTTTTTCTTGTCATGACGTCAGCAGTCCGGGGACTCGCTCACAGGACGCTCCGAGCGGTGAGGGGACGCTAAGTGACTGGTAGGTGGCTGCTACAAACCCGGTGCACACGTTCGAGACCCGGTATGGGCCTGGTATGGAAACGGCCAGAAGATGGCAACGAAACGGTGAAAAGATTAATTTTATGATTTTTTTTTTGCGGCCGGGGACAAGTTCGCTCAAAACCCAACGTTCTGGACTCCATTCTCCACGTTCTGGAGTGTGAGAGCTCCATAAGAGAAAGGGTCAGTGAAGGTTTGAGCAAAATCCAATTAAAAATAAGAAAGTTATGAATTTTTAAAGGTGCAATCGATCAAACATAAATTGGCAACTCTCTGTGATATATCTTGCAAGCTTCCCTCTCATTTGCTCTGTACTAAAAAAAAACACCTCTATTTAAACCTTTATGTTTCAATAAATGAATAGATCAAATATCCAAAGGGCTAGACATTCATATTATTCTCCAAACATATTAAAAGTCATGAAGATGCTGATTAAGAGCTTTAATCCACCACCTTTACATCATAGTGTAACTCTTAGCCCTGAAACCATTTCCTTCTTTGCTTATGCTTAATTACCCATAGATCACGAACAGGTGGCAGCACCGTGACAAACTAGTTTCACAAGAAACTCTCTTATTTAACCATTAATCTCTCTCTCTATCATAAGAAGCTATAAAACTTACTTTCTTTCTTTTGTTTGCCTTGTGAGACGATGTAATATGAATGTACTTTACCTACATATTGTTATTGTGTAGAAAAGAGAGTGTGAATGGTGCAGAAAAGATTGTGGGGCAATTGGGAAATTTTGGATTGTTTTGATATTTTAAGTATTTCTGAACATTTTCCTGCCCTTTCTTTGGACAGTTCAATCTCTGAATACTTTTCTGAGACATTTACAATACAAACTTGCCACCAAAAACAAGGTGAAGTCATGTTTATAGCTGTAAACAAAAATTGCATATTTTGTAACCTGCATACATGTACACAGGTTTACAATTTCACCTAGCTCTTAAATTCCTTTCTCAGCAATATCAAAATGCAAATTTTATTTATCACTCTACAATTATTTGTCAAAAGCATCATTGTTGTAATCCACAGGAAATTACTTCATCATCCCATTGACTGCATCCCAATGGGTTCCTTCCCATCATCACTATCACTATTCCTTTCCCAACTTTAACATTCAAATAAACTACCCAAATCACAATCCAGGCAGAACCAAAACAACTCTCTGTCATGTAACATGAGATCATCCGAACGTGCAAATCTCCCCTAAAACTGACAACTGCCTCGCTTCTCTTCGTTTTGATATATCCAATGACAGATCCTGGTGTAAAACAAACTGCAGGATTACATTTAATCTCCGCGCATGATCCGTCATTTTTTCCTCCGTGTCTCTCAGCGCCTATGTTGTCAGAGAGGAGCTATATTTAAATGAAATCTTGCTGTGATTCACGCAGGAAGTGGATCGTTCCGTGTTCGATTTCAACTCTGGAGTTGCTGGAACGAATGTATAAATGGTATTCGAAAATAAACAAAAACAATATTGATGATACTGCCACGAACAATCATGAGTATGATCATCATGATCGTGACGATTATTATATTTTATTTTTAAAAAATCCTATTTATGCACTTCAAGATAATACTTTACAATGGTTTTGTACTCATGGTTCAAGTTCCATGTTTTTTTGTTTTTTTTGTGTATGTCCTGTTATGAGATAATTTATGTCCGATTTAGATATAGCTGAAAATGAATGACCCTGTCTTTGTACGTTTCCATTATAAATTTGTGCTGATAACATCCTTTGTTTCATTTTCTGCACAGGAAATGTAACACGTGAATTTTTTTGTTATTCTCTTTCTATTAAGTACAACATTTCAAGATTCATAACATTAAAGGTGAAAATAATTACCATCTGCTAGATAATGACAACAACCATCACAAATGATTGATTATGTGCTGGTAATAGCAAGTCATAATAACATTTGAGTATGTTTTGGTCATGATCCACCTTTGGATGTAACGAAACATAAAAAAGCTACTGATCTGAAATTAAATGCATACAAATTTGTCAGGGGGAAAAAAATGATAATGTAAGTTTCATCCTAGTCTAGGGATCTAATTTATTGTTCATCTCTCATTTTCTGAACATTCCATTTTTAGAAAAAAAAAAAAATCTTACCAATTGCTTAGAATTTAGAGCACATGTATTAACAACTAAAATCAAAGAAATCTGATCAATTGCTTTTCAGGCTTTGTATTCACTTTCGCTTTCAACTTAGGATTTTGGTAACATCCAACAGAAAAACATTCATATTAAAAAGTAATGATAATGCGAACAGAACATTTAAATGAAGGAAACTTTCTTCCCTCCACAATTTTTATTAGATTTGAAAGAAAATTAACCAAAGTGAAATGAAATCCATAAGCAACAGTAAAATATCCTTCAATTTGAGCCAATTTCCTGTGTGGCCACACATCCCCCATCGACTGCTGTCAAATGATTAGGAAAAAAGTGCTTTGTTCTTTATTCAATTACCCTCCTCCTATACATGTATATATATATTGAAAAGCAAGAGCGACCTCTTAACACATCGGGTTTAAGCAAGGGCTGTTAGAGTATTGCAACGATATTACTTCTGACAGTGGGCGCTGTTAGGATTAACACAGACTGTCCGGTAGGTGGTGCGAAGGGGGAAAGAGGGCAGAATAGTTGTACATGTACCCCCACTCCCCCCATCATACACACATAACCAATTAAGCACATACCCTGGCACAAACTTCCTAATGCACTCTTGTAATGTGCATGTAAATGCAATACAAACTATATCGCATACCTTCTTTGATATTCTTTGCATTTCAATATGATATTTCTTGAAGACTTTTTTGAGTATTTGCTCTGGACTGTTTTTAACGTTCCATATGGTTCTCACCGGGTCCATAGAATCCAATAACAAAATAATGAAAAAGAAAATGACACAAACTGTGTAGGAATGACTTCTCCTTTTTTAATCCAGAAATAAGTCTTTTTCAATCTCCTGATAGAATATAACAGATTTCCTTGGAGGTATTTTCTGTAAAGACCTATTTTTGCAGAGCTCATTTTGAGACTTGCCAAAGCTATATTCCAAAATACCAAAGCTAAATATAATCACTCCAGATTTTAGTGTATTTTTTGTTTTCCCAGATATATGTAATGACATTGAACTGATCTGATCTATTTGGCACACCTATCAAGCTAATCTAAGCTTGGATACGGTCACAATGAAACCTTCTAAGGGTCAAAGTAGGGTCTGTGCTTGCAGACGGCCAGAGAGTTATCCCATGTTGCAAGTACAAAAGGAGACCGAGAACAGACCTTCTTTTCCCTCGTGCCATCACCACTGCCGAAGCAGCATCGTCTAGCTAGCGGAAGGAGGGATTTAATCAGGGCTGGCCCGAAATATTGGGTGGCACGGTCAAATTGATTATTGGTGCTCCGAGCTGCCAATTTGGGTTTGGGTTAATCTCTAGCGACTGGCTACCTGGTGGCTATGCGGAGAAGAGATAGTGGGGAAGGAAATCCTGCAGGGAATTGTATCTTGATTGGTCAGATGCCGTATCAAAGCAAGGTTAAAGAAACAGTTCAGCTGTTAGAGGACCGAAAGGATGTTAGCCCTAAATACTTTGTACAGCTCTTCTCCTTCATGTGACACCAATTTACTTTGGACCAATGTCTTTGGTGTCCTGTGAGACCTTCCCTGGGACTTGTGTCTAAAGTTTCGTAGCAAGATACTCACACCAACATGAGCGCAAATACTTTCCCCAAATGAGTCTGAGACCATTTCAATACCCTTGCTCCTCACCTTTTGGAATGTGAGATAACTATACAGTGACATATTACATACTCTGAACATGACAGACAAAGGAACATTCCTTCACTGCTATTGTGTAAAACAGGTGTCACATGCATATTCACCTGTCCTACACATTTTTACATAATAGCAGCGAAGGGATGTTCCTTTATTTACCTGAGGAACTGTATATTTTGTCCGCTTTCTTTGTCTGTCATATTCATAGTGATATTACATACTCTGAACATGATTCCTATAGCCAATACAATAAAGTATTGTGATTTCATCCTGAAGTTGGTAAACTTATAATGATAATAACAATAATAATACTCAGTTTTTATATAGCGCTTATTAGAATCACTATAAGTTGAAGAAAGACACATAATAACCAAATGTAGGTTCATCACTTACTGTTCTTGAAATGCGTCCTAGATATTTATTCCCCTACCCTATTTAATCACATTACTCTAACTTGTCTCAAAATGATAACATAATATATCAGAATGTGTTAGGATAGGGGTATTGAGCAAGTAACAAGCAGACCCCTTCTCTGGACAATTTACAAATGAGTAAGCACTTTCATGTTCATGCACTTTTTATTTATTACTTTTACTCTCTGATCCCCTTTTTCGTCCAATATTTTTCCGATCCCACCCTAGTGAGCCCTGTCAATTATATCATTTCCTGGTCCCATGTTTTCATACCTTGCAGAACACACATGGGTAGGTCTTTTCCACAGTCTGTTTGCTTTAATACTGGCTTCGGTTCCACCTTTCTCCCGTGACCTCCATTTTCTGAACTTCTGACCTCATGACCTTCCCACCTCCAGGTATATATATCTTTCTTCAACTGATATACCCAATCATCATCTTAAATGACCAATTTAGTCTTCTGATTTCTCTTCAAGGAGCATTTAAAACAAATTTCTGACTTTCTTACTGCTTGATTGTAAAATTGCAGTCCCCATAGTGATCCCATACCGGCAAATCTTTTGGTAATATCTCGGCCATTGCGTAAATTCAAGTTGTTTTTTTTGTCCAGTGTCAGTCTATGTCATTCTCGATGGTACAACTAGGATGTATATATCTCTTCAATATTTTGAACTCTGTCCTACTCTGTTCAGTGCCTTGTTAATCTGGTGTCGGCCTCAACGGTGTAATTGGGGTGTACATGTATATGATATATATTTGACATTTTTAACAGTATCCTTCAATATCGTCTCTTTAGCTGTACCTGCAATAGCCTACATATATCTAGCTGAATACCAAGGTCCTTGTCCCTGTCTTATACATGTAAATTAAAGCGATTGATCCAGATTGATCCAGATTGATCCAGATTGATCACACATTCTCCAATCAATCAAAAACTCATGAAATCCAACCTTTTCAGTACAGAGTTGTGATTGAGGTCAAGTTGATTGAAATCAATCATAACTCTTTATTAGACAGGTCACTGGTTATCAAATCTTACCTTTTGGGAACAACTCACCTCCCCTCCCCTCCAACCCACCTACTTCTCTATATTTTCTCACCTGTCTGATAACCTGAAGTCTCGGTTGACCTCCGTGACCCGGACGTTCCTTGCCCCCGTCCTCTTTATCTCACCTCCTACCCATCTTTCCCCCTCCCCTCCCCTCCACCTCTCCCTCCAACCCACCTACTTCTCTTTGTTTTCTCACCTGTCTGATAACCTGAAGTCTCGATTGACCTCCGTGACCCGGACGTTCCTTGCCCCCGTCCTCTTTATCTCACCTCCTACCCATCTTTCCCCCTCCCCTCCCCTCCACCTCTCCCTCCAACCCACCTACTTCTCTTTGTTTTCTCACCTGTCTGATAACCTGAAGTCTCGATTGACCTCCGTGACCCGGACGTTCCTTGCCCCCGTCCTCTTTATCTCACCTCCTACCCATCTTTCCCCCTCCCCTCCCCTCCACCTCTCCCTCCAACCCACCTACTTCTCTTTGTTTTCTCACCTGTCTGATAACCTGAAGTCTCGGTTGACCTCCGTGACCCGGACGTTCCTTGCCCCTGTCCTCTTTATCTGTTGCTCCCAGTCTGCTACCCGTCTGAACTGGGGTGTCCTCCCGTGCCTCTCCCGATCCGGTTTATTCGGCGGCGGGGGCGGAGGCGTGGCCGATATTCTGTCACGGTACGGCGTGTATTTAGGCTGAGGATGGAGGAGTCCCTTGATGCGGGTTCCGCTGCGGACGGGTAACGCCTTCTTTGCTTCGTGTCCGTTTGTGAGAGAGTTGTGAGTGGATTCGGTGCGTTTGGGGCGCGAGTTGGGCGAGTTGGATGGAAGCTCAAAGAAGAAGGCAAAGAGAAGTTGTGGATTGGTCGGGAAGGCATGATGCAAGATTGTGTTGATCATCTAGACATGACAAGATAAAAAGAATAAAAGTCTATTAAACAAAATTCATCTTAATTCTATCATAGCTGGATAATTCTCTACTTATCATAATTAAACATGTTGAAATATCATATCTTTCTTATATTCCTTCAAACTCTATGTGATGTTAAGTAAGAAAATCTTAACCTTTCTCAATACATTTCTCATTATAGGAAAATATAAGTGCAACTTACGAGCTGACATTTTTTTAATGAGGATGTCATCATGTTTCATTGTGAGAATACTATCCTAATCTGTACATAAACTATGAGACATTAATCTTCATCTAAGAATAAATTGCCACTCTTCAGACAATGTAACCTCTCTATACCCTTCCACCCTTATCCAAAATAATCCAAAACCAGTTGAAAACCTGCCAAGATTGGTGTCTTTTCACTTTACAGACCAAAATCGAATCAAACACTTCTTGCACCACAAGACGAGTTTCTCAATCAGGGTTATGCATTAGTCACCCTCCCGTCACTCTTCATGTCCTTAGCCAGGGCAGCTAGGAGGTGGGGGTTATCCCCCTCTCAGGAAATTAATTACCCACATGTCTCCTCACATGGTCGACTTACTGCCCAAGAAGCCTCGTTTGGGCCTCTGTGGAGTAGTTAGGAAAGCTTCTTTTCTTATTCTTCTTTGCTGATCGCACAGAGATGTCAGGAAGAAGACTTTCAGGTTTTAAGTTACTTATATTCTGTACTTACATACAAATGTTTTTCAATACACAAACCAGCTTTATTTGCTGACATTCTTTCAACTGAAAAGCCCAATGGTCTTCAATCATTCAACTAAAAATGTAAAAACTTTAAAAGACACTATTACAGGTGATGATTTTTGTTATTGAATGATCGATAATGAACTTCTTCTCCCCGGTGTGTATTGAGTCTTTACAGACGTGTATCAATCAGATAAGATCATTTACGTCTGGAGACCGACCTTTAAACGTTATCATCCGAAAGACGTGACTCAATTTCAAACCTGCGTCCTCGGCTGAATCAGTTTGTAACTTCCATTGTTAGCTGGATTACAGGCGCATGCCACAACGTGTACACCATGTACATTTATTACAACAACAGATTGAAGAGTTCATTTGATTTGTGAAGTTAATTAGAACGATTTCTCTATACACGATCAAGATTTATTTATCTTGTGAAACTTCAGCTTACAAACAATAGCAGTCATTATTAGACGACTGGCAGCAAGCCAAGCTGTAGCTGGGAGAATGGCAGTCTCTCTGACTGTCAAACTGTCAGATTGTCAGAATGTACAATGTACGACTGTCACACTGCCATTCCCCCACCTCGGGCAAGTCTTCAACACTAGTTGTTTGATGGGACCTACCATAGTTGAAGGCAAAAGTCTCACCAAGGCACATGCATATGAATTTTATTTTGTTTAATAATAATTGTTTTCTACTACACAAACTCTGATTTAATTTCCTACAATCATTATCAGCAATTGTAACAAGAATCCTTTCCCTTATCTAAATTAATGCTGGTTGCTGAGCACTTTTATACTTAATTCTTTTGCGTTTTTTAACATTCAGCGCCCAAAGTACATTTGTACATGTGACACTTAATTCCTTTTTAATAATTACATTTACTATGTACAGTTTGCATAAATGACTACATTTATTAATAGAGGAGGGTTAGGGGTTGAGAAATACAGATACAGGTAAAAGATGAAAGTGAGTCATGAATCAGATATGATCAAGTTTTTCTCCTCCTTTTTTTCTTACCGACAACTACGTCCCACCTAAGGGAGGCGAGATCAAGGGCGATTCAAAGGCACATGACTTCATGACTAGACTAACGAGATTACAACGTGAATGTCTCCACAACCCTCAAAATAATCACATACTTAGGAAAGCCAACTAACATGGGTGATGAATCCTTTCAATACTACCTTACATTTTTTATTCAACAGCCAACTAAAATTTTTACAAGAATACTATCAAAGAATAAATAAGACTTTGAAAAAGGAAATACAATTTAAAAACCAATAAATAATGCAATTAATGTCATGGCTTTTCTCAGAATTAGGCAATTATTAATCTTCAAAAATACAAACTGAAGTTTCTACTGCTTGATATTGCCATTTTCCAAAGAATAATTTATCTTTAAGAAGAGTGAGAAGGACTTAATACAGAATTGACAGGTTCTGACTTCATGCTAACATATCTATTAATGGGGGTGCAAATTTGATGACTATGCTGAAAGTCATCTATAACTATAAATGAGTAAGACTGCTAGCCATCAAGAAATATCTTTTCAGTAATACTCATACTTTATATGAACCTACAAAGTGTGGAGTTCCTATCCTTTTGCGAATGATAACACAGATTGGCCTGGATAGATCATACACAACGGAACAAAGCCATCTTTCTCTCTGCAGGATTATGATTTTTCCCCGCTCAAGCTAAAATCGTCTATTTGGAGCCAGAAGGGCATTATCCCATCTAAAGTATCATAGAGGTAACACCCTTCTGGCTCTCAACAGAGTCAAAAATCCAAAGCTTCTGGACCCTGTTTCATAAAACTTGATATCAATATACATGTAAGTTACAAGCTACTGCTATAAGCTACTGAAATCAAAGCATCTGATTGGCTGAGAGCAAATTTGTCATAGAAATTTAGCATTTGTTATAGATAAAAAGTTTTATGAAACAGGCTCCCGACCCTGTGATGCCTAGAGATACATGCAACCCACTAAGGACTGCCTTGACATTTCATATTAAGTTTCCTGAGTTGTCTCTGCCATGATCTCCCACAGACAGACCACAGGGAAGATACTAAAATATCATGTAGAGATATTATGATCTAATTTTCCTCATAAATCATTTTTTGTTAAACCATATGTTCTTGACCTTTTCCTCTGCGGGATAACTACCCTAGACATCAACTTAAAGGGATCGTTTAACAATATTAAATCTGAGATACACGGCCCTAAGTGTTATCAGTGTCTGTGATATGGTGTAATATTGAAGCCCTAAAAAAATTGCGCTTCAAAATGATCAAGAAGTGCCTCAAAAAAGTAAAACTCTTTGAGTGACCGGTTTTACCATACTCGTTTTCCCCAATAGACTGTAGTGTTATGAAAACCGTCAGGCGAACGGTTTTCAAAATTTGTAATTCCAATCTTAAATATCTTGATAATCAGACAGGCGATCGGCTTGTAAAAGTCATGGGGCTCCTGACTGACCTAAAGGTTTATAATTATCATTGCATCATGAGCTAAATCCAAAATTTTGTTTCAGAATCTGAGACAAAGTTACCGGATGCCTTTAAAGCCTATAAATGTTTCAGAATAGAGAGAAAGGGATATTAGTTGAAACCATGAATTTGAATATGTTAGATTGTACGTAATAAAAAGGTCTTTGGGACGCATCAGCTTTAAATATTCATTTTTTATATTTTCTCTTCTTTTAACCCTTAGCAGTACAGTGCCCCCTTTTTAATGATGTCTTGCATTATCTCTTGATCTAGAATGATTAAAAATTACACATACATGAGCAGAAAGAGCAAAAATCCAAAAAATTATTACTCTTATCCACTTTTCATTAAAAAAAGGAAAACATCTTGATATGACCAGTGAATAATAGCAGTGATACTGAAATATCTATTTATAGTCAATGATCGAGAGACTTTCATCTTTGGTGATATAAATGGATAAAAATCATATATTCTATGTGCCACATAGCATGAAATCCCCACATGTACATGGGCATCAATTCACTGGAATATTTCACCCTTTGCAGTTGCATGTAGAGATCTTGAAAGTTGTAAATGCACTCTAACTACCAGAGGGAAACATGCACTTTTAATTGATAAGATTAATCTAAAATTAGCAAGGATTATTGGATAACGAAGGCTGATTTGAGAGGTGCAGTAAGGGTCAATTGATAATGGGCATTGTGTCTCAATACAGATAACACTGCACTTTCCATGCCAGCCCAGGACATCCGGTCCAAAACACGGCTGATTGCGATTATTTGCTCAATTTCTCTCAGAAAACTATCCCCTTACCTGCTGGAGATGGATAGTCCCTGTATTAAGCCTATGTCATTGGCAGGATTCAGTGCTCGGTGGGTTAACAATATGATATTTTTACTGTAATCACCTTAAAAGTACAGTGAACACTCCTACAATACCTACTAATGGAACCAATGTGAATTGACATTTTAGGAGGTACTTTTACTAATAATTTCAACACTGGTCATTTTTCTATTCATATGATATAATCATATATGCACATATCATCACTACATGCAATATGTAGGTGCATGTATACATTTCAAACGATGAGGATCTGCAATAGTTACAGTTATCCTTGTATATTGACTGCACTCATGACTAGTGTACCCTGTCTCTTTAGAAGTTTAGAACTGCTGATCATTCATATCTACACTGTTTCCAAGGAGCATTAACTGCAAAAATGCAATAATACAGGCAATCATTTGACATGCTTAAAAATTCATAAACGCTTTTTTTTTAAAGACTAAGTGCATTCTAGACCAGTATTCATAGGTCTAATCTAAGGTGAAGCAGCTAAAAAAAAAAAAGAAGAAGAAGAAAAAAATGTCCAGTCATATAGGAAGCATTGCCAAGTCATGTGTAGCCACGGGGAGGCATGTACATCCCCCAACCAAATGATGGAGACGAGAGAAAAGAAGGAAAGAAAAAAAAGAGAGAAAAGGTGGAAGGATGAGCAAATGTGATGATAGGACCCCCCCCCCCCCCTCCAACCCACTCCCCTAATCAGTAGCCTAGTAAATTAATATTTCATATTTCATTTTCTAAATGAAACCAGCCCACCCCCCCCCCCCCCCTCATGCAAGGTGACCCTTCAATGACTGGACTCACTCTATACCACAGAGCATGAATGTGTTGTGCACTCATACAAAACATGTTAGAAATGTGATCTGGGGTTGCGTGGACCTGGAAATATCCTTGCTCCAAACCAAATACGATAACCAA